CATACCTTAGGGTTGCATTGCATGACTCCGCTGTGATCGCACTTGCATTCAAGACACGGCCCGCTCGCCGCCCGAACCACTTCTCCCACCTCATAGAATACTCCGCTTATTTGACAACCTTTTCAATGCAATTAATATATCAATTTGAATGCTAAGCAATTGAATATATCGTATATACAATCATACCTTTACGCTCGACGTGTTGTGTGGGCACAGTTGTCGGTGTAGTGACCGTCACATTCATAGTAGTTGACTGAACGGCTGTTAATTAAGCGTTCAAAATGTTATTAAATAGTTATTTAATACAAATCGCATCACAACTCACGGCATTCATAACGAGGACAACAGAATCCTTCAATTTGTGTCTCATAGCAGCGGGCGATCGGTGGCGGACACGTCTGTTGAAGGCATATGATATCTCCCCGGAAGCAGAAACAGAAGTCACAGGGATGTGGTCGTGGGATCTGTTCTGCCGATTGGTATATCTTGTTGTCGTATACACAGGCTATGGGATACAGATTACGGGTTAGTTTGATAAACATGTTTACGAATGGATACTCATTACCTCCTTCGTCGAGTTCGGATGGGTATGAAGGAGTGGTGGAAGCAGTTGTTGATTGAGTGCTTTTATTAGTGACACCTATTGATTCTCGTGGACTCGCCGTTTGGTTCATGGATTCCGTAGTACTAGTTATAGACGATTGTGTTGTTGTTTTGTCATCGATTGGTTGACTTGTTTTTGAGATATCTTTCGGAATGAATGTAATCAAATTGATTCTCGTGGACTCGCCGTTTGGTTCATGGATTCCGTAGTACTAGTTATAGACGATTGTGTTGTTGTTTTGTCATCGATTGGTTGACTTGTTTTTGAGATATCTTTCGGAATGAATGTAATCAATGGCGTACTTGTGGTCGACATCATTGTCACGAAATCATCCGCCGGTGAAGTGACAAAATCGGTTTGTCTATGAATTTCACCGATTGTTGTTTCAGATGATACCGAATGAGTTGTTTCGCTAGTTATAGGTCTCAATGTTGTCGATGCATATGTTGTTTCATTTATTAGTGATAAACGTGTGGTAATGGGTGTGGAAGTAGTTTCAGTCGATTCACTCGATTGTGAAGATATTGTTTGCTTAATATCACCAACAGTTGATTCAGTAGTAGTTGTAACTCCTATATCAACGTCTGGTTTACCACTTGAAGAACTTGTTGTGAGCGTTGAATCAGTTTCCACTTTTGGAGAACCGGTGACTAAATTAATAATTGTCGATAAAATGCTTGAGAAAGTTGTCGTTTCTATTGATTCCTTAGAGGTATCGACAGAAGACATGGTCGGAGTGACAGCTTCTGGAGTTGTAGTAAATTGTGTTTTAGTAGTCGAGTCGACATCTGATTCTTTAGGAGATATTGTTGTTGGAGATGAAGGATGTGTTTGATTTATTACAGGTGCGGTCAATGGTTCTTCAGTCTCGGCAAAAGTGGTTGTCTTATCTGTTGATTCAATAGATTTTGGTGTTACTGTTGGAGAAGTTCTCGAACTATCAGTTGTTGTCATTCCGTCCAAAGTCGACAATATGTCACCAGTAGTTGAACTCATTGGCAGTCCTTTAGTTTCAATTTCAGATACAATAGTTGTCTCATCTCTCGGGACAGAAGTAGTCGTTTGTGGGAATTGACTCGTCATTATGTCTTCAGTCGAACCCTTTGATAATTCAGTGATAACTTCTGGCGAACTTTCTGTTGGACTCTCTGTTGATCCCATAGAAACTGATTCTTTACTAAGTGTTGTCAATAACTCTGTTGTTGTTTCAATACTCGGCTCTTTAGGAGATATTGAAGTTTGTGTCATATCTTCTAATTTATGAGTTGTCGGCGAGCTTTCAGTTGTAATAATTATATCATTCACTGTTTTTGGAGGTTCTGTTGAATCAGAAATTCCTGACGTTTCTGTGGATCCAATAGTGACCGACTCTTTACTCGTTGTTTCCGTTGAAATGTCTGCAATCGTTGGACTCATTGATGAATCTTTCGTTTCAACGCCAGAAATAACTGTTGTTTTATCAGTGATTTCAGCCGAAGAAACGGTAGTTTGTGGCAAATCAGTCGATTCAGGTCTGCCTGTCGTCACGCTTTCAGTGAAAGATTCGTGTAATTTTGTAGTTTGACTAAAACCAGTGGTTTGTGTTTGTGTCAAATCTTTTGGTGCTTCTGTAGTGGTTTGCGAGACATCGGTTTGAGTCGATATAACACTTGAATCTTCACTCGAACTTTTTGACGCTTCTGTCGATGTCTTATAGCCATCGGTCGTCGTCTCCATTGATTGTGAACTTACTGTTTGTGATTCAGTTTGAGTTGTAATCTCTGGCACCTCTGAAGGCAGTGCTTTAATGGATTGTGCAGTACTTGTGATGAAATCAACCACTTCTTGGGCTTTTGTGGCTATTGTCTCAGTAATGTCTTGAATGGAAAGAGTAGTGGTTTGTGGTAATTCAGTCGATGACTTCATCGGTACTTCTGTCGATGTTTGCAACCCCTCTGTTGTCGTTTCCATTGTCTCTTTAGTTCCTCCAAAAGTGAATCTTCTAAGTATAGGACTAACGGTTTTCGATGGGCTTTGAGTTGTAATATCTGGTATGCCTTCAGTCGACGGAACTTTTGTGGTTTCACAGTCGTTTCCATTGTCTCTTTAGTTCCTCCAAAAGTGAATCTTCTAAGTATAGGACTAACGGTTTTCGATGGGCTTTGAGTTGTAATATCTGGTATGCCTTCAGTCGACGGAACTTTTGTGGTTTCACTCGTCGTGTGAGGACTATCTGTAAGCATACCATCTGTTCCTTCAGTTTTTGTTGCAATTGTTTCGTCACTTCTTTGTGTTGTAGTGACGGGTAATTCTGACACCAAATCACTAGTCTTTGTGGTAATAGTTTCCGGAAGTGTTGTCATTATTTCAGGTTCTTTGTCCGGAATTTGCGTTGAAGTCGGGTATTGGGGTTCATATTCTTTAGTAGAAGTTATTACGGGTTCTTCACTGGAAACTGACAGAGATTTTGATTCAGTTGTCAAAGATATTGGAGAATCTGTTTGTGAACTCTTCTCTGTTGTGGGAATGCCTTCCGTAGAGACGGATGCTATTATTTCTGGCTTCTCAGTAGCCATTGATGTCTCATATAGTGTTGTCGTTGTCTTCATATCGTCCGCAACAAACGATTTCTTAGTTTGCGTCAAATCTAATATACTTTCAGTTGTAGTCATTATTGTTTCACTTCTATGTGTAGACGACTCGACATGAGATCCTTTAGTGGTCGGCGGAACCGTTTCTTTCGCTTCAGTGGGCTTTATGTCCGATGGAGTCGATTGTGTCGTTGCTATCGATTCAATCTCATCCACAGAAACAATTGGCTTTGGAGTTGATTTCTCTTCTTTCTCTGACTCTCTTATAATTCCTTCAATTTTAGTGACGGAATCAATACCTTCTGTCGATGTCTTCCTATCAATTGATTCTGTGGTTTTAGTTATGGTCTCAGTTGTCGTTTCTGGCGATGTTGTGGTCGTTTTTATAATAGGTTTTGTTGTCATTTCGTCCACTTTTCCTGTCGTTTTCTCTGTAGTTATGTCTTCTATTGAGGACTTTGTTGTCGATTCTGGTAATACAGGAGCTCTTTGAATAGGTTTAGTCGTGAATTCAATACTTTCTGTTGGTTTAACAGTGGAAGTGATTTCAGCCTTTCTTGTTGTAAACGTTTGTGTTTCAGATATATCTGCTTTTGTTGTCATTTTTGAGATCTCATCAACTTTTTCTGAGGAGGTTTTAATTGATTCAATGCCTGCAGTAGTGGTTTGTTCGGGAATTTCAGAGCTTTTCTCTCCAATGGTTGATGTAATTGAAGGCATTGTTGTCGTGATGTCCACTATTCCACTCGATTTGGATGTAATTGTGGTATCAATTGGTGTGGAATGAGTGGTAGAAACAGTTTGGTCACCAATTCTTAAACCTCCCGCAGCTGTCTCTGAAATTGCAGACTCTGTGGTACTTATAATCTCCTCAACTGTTGTTTCCTTTTTAATTGGACTAATTGTTGAGTATTGAGTAGATTTTGTTGTAATTGTTGTGGAATCTGATGGTCGAGTCGTTAAAGACTGAGTTGTCGTTTCAATACTCGGCTCTTTAGGAGAAATGGATGAAATCGTGACGATATCTTCCATTTCAATAGTTGTCAGCGATTTATCAGTGGTTATAATGATATCACTCACAGAATCAACTGGTTTTGAAGGTTCTGTTAAATCAGGAAGTCTTGAGCTTTCTGTGGATCCAATAGAGACCTGTTCTTTACTAAGTGTTGTCAAAGACTCTGTTGTTGTTTCAATACTCGTCTCTTTAGGAGATATAGAAGAGGTTTGTGTCATATCTTCTAATCTATGAGTTGTCGGCGAGCTTTCAGTTGTGATAATAATATCATTCACTGATTTTTGACTCGTTGTTTGCATTGAAATGTCTGCAATCGTTGGACTCGTTGACGTTTCTTTAGTTTCAACGCCAGAAACAACTGTTGTTTTATCAGTGAATTCAGCCGAAGAAGTAGTTTGTGGCAAATCAGTCGATTCTTTAGGACTGCTTGTCGTCACATATTTCACACTTTCAGTAGAAGATACGGGTTGTTGTGATTTTGGTGTTTGAGTAAAGCCTGTGGTTTGTGTTTCTTTAAAATCTGTTGACATTACTGTTGTATGCGTTGATATAATGTCTAATTCTTCACTCGAACTCTTGGGAACTTCGGTCGATGTCTTCAAACTATCGGTTGTCGTGTCTATTGATTGAGAACTCGTTGTTTCCAATTCTATTTGAGTTGTAATTCTTGGAATCTTTGAAGGCATTGGTTTGATAGGCTGTGCAGTAGTCACCACATCATCCAATTCTGAAGCTTTTGTAGCCATTGTTTCACTGATATCTTGAGTCGAGAGAGTAGTAGTTTGTGGCGATTCACTCGAGAGTACGGATTCTGCACTCGAGGTCTTCACAGGAATTTCAGTGGATGTCATCAATCCTTCAGTTGTTGTTTCCATTGTCTCCTGTATTCCGGGAGTAATTTTTCTAATGTCAGGAATAATTGTTTGCGATTCGGTTTGAGTTGTAATTTCCGGTAAGCCTTCAGTCGACGGAACTTTTGTGGATTCAGGTGTGGTTTGAGGACTACTTGTTGTCAAATCTACTTCTCCAGCCTTTGTAACAATTGTTTCATCACTTCTTTGTGTTGTAGTGACGGGTAATTCTGACACCAAATCACAAAGTAGTTGTAATCTCTGGCACCTCTGAAGGCAGTGCTTTAATGGATTGTGCAGTACTTGTAATGAAATCAACCACTTCTTGGGCTTTTGTGGTTAATGTCTCAGTAATGTCTTGAGTGGAAAGAGTAGTGGTTTGTGGCGATTCACTCGAGAGTATGGATTCTGCACTCGAGGTCTTAACAGGAATTTCTGTGGATGTCATGAAACCATCGGTTGTTGTTTCCATTGTCTCCTGTATTCCGGGAGTTATTTTTCTTACGTCAGGAGTAATTGTGGTAATGGGTGTGTAAGTAGTTTCAGTCGATTTAATTGTTTGCTTAATGTCAACCACAGTTGATTCAGTAGTCGTGACAACTCCTATATCAACGTCTGGTTTACCACTTGAAGGACTTGTTGTAAGCATTGAATCAGTTTCTACTTTTGGAGAACCGGTGACTAAATCAATAATTGTTGATAAAATGCTTGAGAAAGTTGTCGTTTCTATTGATTCCTTAGAGGTATCGACAGAAGACACGGTCGGAGTGACAGCGTCTGGTGTTGTAGTAAATTGTGTTTTAGTAGTCGTGTCGACATCTGATTCTTTAGGTGATATCGTTGTTGCAGATGAAGGATGTGTTTGGACAACAGTAGTCTTTACGGTTTCTTCGGAGTCAGTTAAAGTGGTCGTCTTATCTGTTGACTCAATAGATTTTGGTGTTACTGTTGGAGAAGTTCTCGAACTATCAGTTGTTGTCATTCCGTCCGAAGTCGACAATATGTCACCAGTAGTTGAACTCATTGGCAGTCCTTTGGTTTCAATTTCAGATACAATAGTTGTCTCATCTCTCGAGATAGGAGTAGTTGTTTGTGGCAATTGACTCGTCATTATGTCTTCACTCGAACCCTTTGATACTTCTGTAATAACTTCTGGTGAACTTTCTGTTGGACTCTCTGTTGATCCCATAGAAACTGATTCTTTACTAAGTGTTGTCAATAACTCTGTTGTTGTTTCAATACTCGGCTCTTTAGAAGATATTGAAGTTTGTGTCATATCTTCTAATCGATGAGTTGTCGGCGACGCTTCAGTCGTTATAACAATATCGCCCACAGAATCAACTGGTTTTGAAGGTTCTGTTGAATCAAAAATTTCTGACTTCTCTGTGGATCCAATAGTAACCGAGTCTTTACTCGTTGTTTCCGTTGAAATGTCTGCAACCGTTGGACTCATTGATGAATCTTTAGTTTCAACGCCAGAAACAACTGTTGTTTTATCAGTGATTTCAGCCGAAGACGCGGTAGTTTGTGGCAAATCAGTCGATTCAGGAGTACCTGTAGTCGTCACATGCCTAACACTTTCAGTGGAAGATTCGTGTGATTTTGTAGTTTGACTAAAACCAGTGGTTTGTGTTTCCTTCAAATCTTTTGGTACTTCTGTAGTGGTTTTCGAGACATCGGTTTGAGTCGATATAATACCTGAATCTTCACTCTTTGACACTTCAGTCGATGTCTTAAAGCCATCGGTCGTCGTGTCTATTGATTGTGAACTCACTGTTTGTGATTCAGTTTGAGTTGTAATCTCTGGCACCTCTGAAGGCAGTGCTTTAATGGATTGTGCAGTACTTGTAATGAAATCAACCACTTCTTGGGCTTTTGTGGTTAATATCTCAGTAATGTCTTGAGTGGAAAGAGTAGTGGTTTGTGGCGATTCACTCGAGAGTATGGATTCTGCACTCGAGGTCTTAACAGGAATTTCTGTGGATGTCTTGAAACCATCGGTTGTTGTTTCCATTGTCTCCTGTATTCCGGGAGTTATTTTTCTTATGTCAGGAATAATTGTTTGCGATTCGGTTTGAGTTGTAATTTCCGGTAGGCCTTCAGTCGATGACTTCATCGGTACTTCTGTCGATGTTTGCAACCCCTCTGTTGTCGTTTCCATTGTCTCTTTAGTTCCTCCAAAAGTGAATCTTCTAAGTATAGGACTAACGGTTTTCGATGGGCTTTGAGTTGTAATATCTGGTATGTCTTCAGTCGACGGAACTTTTGTAGATTCAGGTG